TATATTACAAGAAATAATATCGGCTGAAGTAAAAATTATGACTAGTCATTTAATTTCCACTCATTATTGCAGTCTAAAACCCCTATTAAATTGGTAGGTACGTACCAACGAGCTAATAAAAATGATGATCCACACGACAACGTGTTGCTAGTTAACGTTATCAAAGGTCTGAATAGCAAATGATTCATAATAATAACAGCCTTTAAGCTAAAAAGAAGAGTTTTTCAGACAAAAAGATCTTCTAAAAGGATATATTAATCCCACTTTTAACCATAAACACTAATGATTACATGAATCCGTTTTTTTCGATCTGCCTAGGGCCTCCAGCTTTTGCAGCCCTAAAAATGCACCATATTCCCCGCACCATGCTAAGCTTCCTGAAAGAGCAACTCAAATCTGATTAAAGTCAAAAAACAATTAATACCCTAGCCTTGGCCACACTTAGAAGTTAAAAAAACAGCCAAAAAAATTTTAAAAAGATGTTTTTTTAGAACCAAAACTAATAAAAATGACAAAGAAAATCTGGTAATAAGTGGAAGCGTTCCCTCAGTAGTGAGTGTACCTATCTGGTGATATTGACTTGATGCTTGTTTTCCTTCCCATCCTCTCCTTGGTCTTGACATGAAAACATGAAATGATAGATGGATCCATCAAAAAGGAAGACTTTCAAAGTTTTTTCTTCCATCCTCCAAACAAGAGAACAATACTACCTCCGTCACCATAGACTTTGTCAAAGGAAAAGTAGGTGAGAAATAAGAATTAAAAAAATGTGTGGTTGAGATTTGTGCATAAGAGACAAAAATGTGCAGAACCACGAATTATTTGCTTTAATAGGAAAGTGGCAAATTTTTTTGAAATAACTAAATAAGGAAAGTCGGTAAAGTCCAATAGGAAGGAGTGAGTAAATAACTACGCATAAACAAAGTGAAAGTAAGACACACAACAAGAAAGAGGTGTGGGTAGGTCTGACCTCCTATTACCCGTCCTATATAAGCATTGGTCCCTTTCTTCAAAAGAAGCAACCCTATGCAACCATAGAGCAAAAAGGTTAGAACCCTCTTTTTCTCTGCCAAAAATTACTACTTTCTATTTTCCCCTGGATTTCGTTCCTCTTTGGTGAAACTATCCCTCTTTGCCTCCATTTCCTTAACATAGCCCTTAGCAAAACCTTAACTTTCCCCTATTGCTACTTGCTTGTTTCTAGCCTTTAATTCTCTTCCTCTCTAAAGTAGAAACCTTTGTAGTTCTCAATCTTCTCACTTTCCATAACAAACCAAAACCAATTGAAGCACCATAATGGAAGCTTTTTATCATCACCCCACTATTGGCATTCCATTTCCATATGGATTTCCAAATGCAACAGTAATGAACATCTGCGGTGGGGCCACAAATTTTATGGGCAGAAGTTGGATGGACAGTAGGATCTGGAGTAGGCTCCCTGAGAGGCTGATCGATAGGGTCATCGCCTTCCTCCCCCCGCCGGACTTTTTCCGAGCTAGAACCGTCTGCAAGAGATGGTATAGCCTTCTCTTCTCTGCAGCCTTTCTTGAATTGTATCTCCAGGTTTCCCCACATTGCCCCTGGTTCATATTCTTCAAACACAAGAAGAGCGTTAAGAGCTACATTTATGGCAACAACAGCACCAGCAATGGGGGGACAATATATGAGGAGGGCTACCTCTTTGACCCTCACACACTCACATGGTACCGCCTTTCCTTCCCTTTGATGCCGCCCGGATTCTCCCCCGCGACCTCCTCAGGCGGGCTGATCGGTTGGGTTTCTGAGGAGGCTGGCTCAAAGAACATCCTTTTATCCAATCCCCTCGTTGGGTCTTTGATCCCAATCGCACCAACTCTTAGGCCGAGACTATTCCCATCAATCGGACTGAACATAACTGACACCTCGATAGACTTGGCGGTGGCCGGAGATGACTTGATATCTCCCTATGCGGTCAAGAATCTGACAACGGAGAGCTTCCACATCGATGCAAATGGGTTCTACTCCCTATGGGGGACCGCATCTCCTCTGCCGAGACTGTGCAGCTTTGAATCAGGCGAAATGGTTTACTCGGAGGGGAGATTCTACTGCATGAACTACAACCCCTTCGGTGTACTCTGTTACGACATTTCGTCGAACAGTTGGTGCAAAATCCAAGCACCGATGAAGCGGTTCTTGCGGTCGCCGAGCTTGGTGGGGAGCGGAGCGGGGAGGCTGATCATGGTGGCGGCGGTGGAGAAGAGCAACCTGAACGTGCCGAGGAGCCTGAGGATGTGGGCCCTACAGGATTGCGGCGCGACGTGGGTGGAGATCGAGAGGATGCCCCAGCAGCTATACCTCCAGTTCGTGGAGGCGGAGAACGGGCAGGGATTCGACTGCGTCGGGCACGGGCAGTTTGTGCTAATAACGATCAAGAACTGCTCGGACAAGGCTCTACTGTTCGATTTCGCAAGGAAGACGTGGGTGTGGGTCCCTCCCTGCCCCTTTGTCCATCATGGCGGCGGCGGTGGAGGCGGGTATGGCGGCGGCGGTGGAGGCGGGTATGGCGGCGGGAATGAGTTGCATGGGTTTGCATATAACCCCAGACTGGCCGCGCCAATAACCGCGCTTCTTGATCATTTGACTCTTCCCTTTCACTCTTTCTCTCCTTAACCAGTAATTCGAGTACTTTTTGTCTATTTATTTACTCAGTATTTAAAAGTCTAGTAACAAGTACTTAGTTTATTCTATCTTAATTAATTAGTACTGTAGCAGTGGTTGGTCCTTTATTTAGTAGGGTCGGGGTGGGGTATTATGCAGTAACTAATTTGGAGTTAAGCATTTAATGTATTTTTGTAGTTTTCTGTGTGCTACCGTCCGAGCAAAAAGTTCAACTTTGGAAGTAGACTCTTCAATTTATAATGTTGACTTTTATGACTATTTCATCCTTTATAATACTCCCTCCGTTCCTAAATAAACTTTCAACTTTCCTTTTTTGTCCGTTCCAATTAAATTTCCACTTTCCCTTTTTGATAAAGAATTTGTGGTTCACAACATTTCTTACACATTTCCCTCTCCTCTACACAACTCTCCATCACACAATACCCACTTTTTTTAAATTTTGTGCCAAAGTGGGTTGGAAGATAAAATAGGAACGGAGGTAGTAACACTTAAATTATTACGTAGTACATCTTACATAACGGGCATGTTTGTCATTCGGCCGATAACGGGTTACGTTAGCGGATTGTCAATAATGGATTTGGTCAACGAGTTTGATTAGCGGATTAAATTAGAGTGTTGTCAGAAGATATTTGCTAATTTACCTATTTGACCATAAAATTAGTAGAAAACGTCATTTTTCAAAACATCAACCCAAAACGTAACTCTCCTATTAGCAGCGTTTTCATTTCAGAGTTTTCGTCCATAAACGTTAGTGTCGAACAACTATTTATCAAACAACTTTTTCACTTATTGAAAGCGCTAAAAATGATCAAATCGTCTTTTTCGGCTGAAACACCGTTTACCAAAACACCCCCAATATGGAGCAATAATGACGGAATACGATGAACATAACGATTAGGAAGAAAGTGGTATATGAATTTATGAGTGATATTGAACTTGACACCCCATTTTGAAAAAACTTTGATTTTGCACCTCATCACATAACATTTTGTGAAGAAATTTTTGAATGAGGTACAAAATCAAATGACTTTAAATGAAATAGGGTGCAAAGTCAAAAAATTTTAAAAATGAGGTGCAAAGTACAACTGTATTTCGTATACGTGTTAGTTATTTACGTCATTTTACACAATGATAAAAATTTTGATCAGTGTGAGACACTTCTCTTTAAAGAATGGAAAAAAATTGTTTGTGCAAAGAGAATATGCTCATCGTATTAAACGGTGTGTAGACTTGACATCTACAATTCTACAAACAACACTTCTCTTAATAATGATGAGGTACGACGAACAAAAAGATTAGGACGCAAGTGATATAAGAATATTTAATAATTAAGGTTAACTTCTTTAGATTCTGCTAGAAGCACATTGTGTACACTTGTTTATACTCCAAATTTAGGAGATAGTATTTTTGGTTTCCTTCAATTCCATAAAATTTGATTATTTTTTAGTTTCCTTGGTCACAAAATTAAATTTTTAACTGTGACATGTGGAGTAGTTGAATACACTTTTATTGATGATATGAAAACAGTCTTTATTAAATATTACCATACAAAACATTAATTAAAATTCTTGATGAAGAAAGTCAAAGATACTGTCAACTGTCAAGTATGGAATGAAGGACTATAATTACGATCGAGATAAATAATTAAAATACATCAAACTTTGAACAGGTATGAGATGAACACCCCAAACTTGCATATGTCAAATATTATTTATTTCAAAAATATAAACTTATGGTGTTAATTGCATAATTTAAAATATTTTAGAATTCATGAAGACACGATTAACATTGTAAACTTTCATTGTGAAATAAAAAATTTTACTCCAATTTATATAATTGCAACACTTCTAATTTGCTATTTTAAATTATGCAATTAACCCCATCAATTTACATTTTAAAAAGAAATAATAGATGACAATAATGCAAAAATAACATTTTATTTAAATTAAATATGCAAGTTTGGGGTGTTTACTTCACCCCACCAAAGTTTGGGATATTTTTACTTCCTCAGTCTCAAATTCTAAGATACATTTACTATTCACTTGGTCAACATAAATCACTATTTATCTTTTACTTTATATACTTTATGAAATCTGAATTATTTTTACAGGTTTTGTACTTTTGTAGTAGTTTTAATGTAATTTCTGAATATGTAAATTTTAATTTCTAAAACTAATTTGAATGTTGGGAATTGGGATGGATCAATTTGCTTTACCATCTATCAAACATCATAAACCATAAAGTGTCTTACAAATTGGGACTCCGTCAATATTATTTTTTTCAATTACAATCTTTCATAGGACCTAAAGAGTCTTTTTAAAAAAAACAGATTTTCAAATGGTGCTTAATCTTGGGATTGAATACATATTATTGAACATAAACAACACTTCCAGAGTCCAGAGTCCAAATTGAGAGTCTAAATACCCACGGAGCAATATGGTGTAAATCAACGGCGGCCCACACATTCCCACCACAATATACACCTTGAATAAATGGTCTAGAATCTAGATCCAATAAATGGAGGGATCCTGTGTTGGTATACTGAATAAATGTTGCGAATAGACAGCCAATTTAACATTAAAAAAAATATTTATTAATGGTCAATAACTCGCTATAAGAGTGAATAAACAAGAAAGAACTGCTCCAGTAATGGAAGAAAGATGAATTAAGCAGAGTTCATCCTTCATTTAGATGTCAACCCTGCATCGATTGATTCATTCCTCTATGAATTTTCTCAATTTCCAGAAATGTTGTGTGGGTAAGAGCTTAGTGGATGGCCATAGTATACAGAGATGTGTGGTGTTTCTTTGCTTCTTCCCTCAACCCCAAACCCACCATGCTCAGGTGATCGTGTTTCTCTATGTATATATAGGTGAATCGTCACTTGTTCTTTTTTATCTTTGAGCTCATTGTTTAACTCTCACCATGAGGACAAGATGAACATTCCTCCTGAATATCAATCTCAACTCTTCATTTGCATCAATCCCGATCTTCCTGCATATATACATAAAAGGCAGCCAAGTTACACACAATTTGTTATAGAAATTATGTCAAGACAGATAAAGGTAGAAAATAAGCAATACCCAATTTTGGAACCCTTCTTTCCGACAAGAATCTTGCGTTGGCTAATCTTTGGTGTTATTAAGTGCTGCTCAATTCTTAGAGAACCGTCTCGTAATTCCTTCCAGTCAACTAGTCGATGATCAATGCCATAAGGAATTTCCTGAATTTTAAAATAAAAACAGCCTTAGGTTGAATACATGTACATCCACTGAATTTGTCATCCAACCAATAATTCAGCATATACTGTTACTCCCTCTCACAAATAACAATCTTTAAAAAGACAAAAAAAGGTAGTACCTGATGCACGTTATCTAACAGCTTTTCTCTAACAATTTCCATTGCTATGTTCTTCATAACTTCGTCACTCATGACAAAGGGTATTTCATCCCATGGTTTTTGGACTGCCTATGTATATCAAAACATTAATCACATCATGAGAAATTAAGCAAGAAAAAGCACCCTTATATGGACATGTTGAGAAAAGCATAAAACAGTAAAATTGCCAGACCGAACTGTTTTAATGGGAAGAACAAATCACCGAGCATCACACTGCTACATGAGGATAAAACATCTATTTTTTAGGCCATATGGGGTAGTTAACTTGAGAATGAAAAGAAACTGCACACTCATCACCCTGACTAAATGTTTACTGAATGAGTAAAATGTATACCATGTTCAAAAAGCTGTTGGGATACGGGAGTGTACAGTAACTCATGCAGATGGATATGGGCTATAATGTATCTTTCATATGGATACATTGCAGTAAAATAGAATAAAATACTTGCCTGCTTCATCAAGTATTGTGATAAGTCTTTCACCCCTGATCCCTTTAGCCCGGATATCATGAAATGCCTAAGAAAAGAACTTTTGATTAAATTGGACATTGTAAAGAGCAGTATCATCCATCAATCCATGGTACACATGGGTGAACTTACTCATCATATCCAGGAAGATGTTTGAATTCCTTAGTAACCTTCAATAAATCTTTCTTTTTGTTAACCAAATCAACTTTGTTCATGCACAAGACACGCTTTTGGTTTTGGTCAACTTCAGAACCCATTCGTTCAATCAATTTCACTACTCTCTGATCAGGCCTACATATGATCAGTTGAAATTCAACAATGAGCTAATCATTCCTCTAGAATAGAAACATTTCCACATAATACATATTGAAACTTCTCTGTTATGCCCGTTATAACATATTTATATACTCCCTCCGTCCCGTAATAAACCACCGCCCCGTAATAAAGCATCAGGTTTAACTTTACACATTTTTAGGTGGAATAATTTTGTGTATTGACTTTCAAATAATACAGGAAGCCTGTCACACCCAACTCCTCTAATCCACGTCTATTTGGATCTTCCTCATGATAAGGTTGATAAGACAACAAATATTGCTTACGAAACTGGTATCTCGAAAATGAGAGCCTTGGTGCACCGGTTATGGTTATGAAACTCTTGGGAGTGACCTCTTGTAAAAAATGACAAGGGGAGGCTTGTCCTCTATACACCCTTGTGGTGGTATCTGATCTCCGGTTCAAACTTTAAACCATGGTAAAATAACTCATTGTACAACCACATTGTCTTACCAAGTAAATATAATGGGAAAAGGAAATTATTATGTGTATGAGCAATAACTTATATAAAAACCATTTCATGATAAGACAAACCCTAAAAATGTTATTGAATGCTTATGGTGTCTTCATACGTTGAATCAGCATTTTATGATTAGCACTTAGATGAATTAAAGGGGGAATATAGATCAAGCGCTTACAAGACAAGGTCAAAAGAAAACTAACTTGGTAAGGTGTCTATGAACATCAAATATGACAACGAGTACATCGTAAAGACTAACAGAACGCCATGCACTCTGAACACGCACTTTCATATCTTTGTAGGGGAAGCCAGTTTTCTTTAGCAACAGACCTGGAGTATCAAAGAAACACTGCAAAATCAATTAGTCAAAGTCCAAACCAGAATGAGAATAAAAAGAATATTTATCTATGCAAATAGAGCAAGAAATATTGCACTTCATTGTTTTTAGTTTTGGACTTTGGGCATTTGAATATATAGCACGGTAAAATAAGCTACCCTTTGATCCCAGTATGGTTGCTGTACTCCAATTTTCTATTTTTTCTATCTCATAATGTTTGCCCCATACAATATTTGGTCATATACTCGTATTTATGTTGCTCAAAATCATTAATCATCTATACTTCACAAATTCAATATCAATCACACAATTCCATTTTTCCTTAATTTGTGTGCAAATTCCCCTTGTCCCAAATTCCTCACATAATTAACCCTTAGCCTCTAACTAGTTTATACTCGGCTGCGCCCATACAAAAATAAATATACAAAAACAGGTTCTCTTAGAAGTCGATTTCGTGACGAATATCACTTGTTCAGTTTTTGTAGTTGATGCACCACTAGATCAATTTTAGCAACTGATGCGCCCATAATGTTGCAGTGTGATTACAGAGAAAACGGATTATCGAATCGATAAAACAGACTTACAATTTGTGTGTCTCCTTCGGTCATCACTCCCAACACTTCATGTGTCGTAGTATTGATCTTGCGAGAAACTGCAGCAACTTTGGTCCCAACCTGGATGAGTAGAGGCTAGTGAGAAAACACAATCCGAGCAAAAGGCTAAATTAATTTATATAACATTTAATAAAACATACATCATGAAGGAGGTTACAGTGTACATGACACAACAATGCATCTTATAATATTCCAGAATAAACATAAACTCACAATGGTCATGTAGAAATCTTCTTACTTTAGAGCCACAGCATGTAAGATGGTGTTAGTTTGCGCTGTTTAAAACTGATTCTGCTATTTTAGACACCGGTACTTAGAACAACTGGTTTTTGAGGTGTTTGGTAAATTTTCTGGAAGTGATCCCAGTGCTCTAAGAGGACGAAACTAAAGTTTCCTGAAAAGCTCACACCAAGACGTTGAAAAGTGATCTAATTATCATTTTGTTTGTCATTTTGTTTAGGAAGCACATCATATGAATAGTTCTACACTTCTACCAAACACTTTAGAACTAATCTCTTTTGCATGCAGGTGGTACATCAGAATACTAGAATGAATGTATAAATTCTTTGAACTAATTGCATTTCCTACAGCACAAATTATTATTTTATTTCTTAGAATCAAAATTTTAGCAAACCCTTTTCTAACTAATAGAAATGAAGCAAGGTAGAAGCAGAAATTAAATCATCTTGATTAGAATCTGATATTACAGAGTATTTATACAACCTGCTAGCACAGCTGGCATAACCAAAGCCTAACAGAAAGTAGTTACATTGCTTTTACAAAGAATACACGTGTAGTTTTCCTACACTATTCCTAACATTCCCCCCTCAAACTGAGGGTGATTGCGTTGGAAAATCAATCACACTTAGTTTGCTTCTGAACTCAAGAAAGGTGGAAGCAGATAGAGGCTTGGTCAACACATCTGCCATTTTCTGGGAGGCTGGAATATGAAAAACTTCAAGCTGTTTGAGTTGGACTTTCTCCCGTACAAAGAAAAGATCAATTTCCATGTGTTTTATGCGAGTGTGCAGAACAGGATTGTGAGCTAGTTGCACTGTACTGAGGTTGTCACAGTAGATTCTGGGAAGAATGAAAGGAGCTTGAAGTTCTTTGAGTAGAAATTGAACCCATAAAATTTCTGATGTAGTATCTGCTAGGCTTCTATATTCAGCTTCTGCTGAAGATCTGGCTACCCTCAGTTTTTTTCTATAAAGTTTGAAATGTGGACTGAGATTTGCAATAGATTTAGAGGGAAGTTTGTTGATAAGATGTACAGCAGTGGCAAAAGCAGTGTCCCAGAATTTGAAAGGCAAAGAAGAATGTGCTAGGAGACATAGACCTTTCTCAACAATGGTGCGATGTTTCCTCTCAACAACACCATTTTGATGGTGTGTATGAGGACAAATAACTCTATGATTAATACCTTTTTCAGTAAGAAACTTTGTGAATGATCTGAATTCTCCTCCCCAATCAGATTGGATTGACTTAATGGAGATGTTAAACTGATTTAGGATGTATTGATGGAAGTTTTGAAAGGCTAAGAAGGCATCTGATTTCTTTTTGAGAAAGTAGATCCAGGTATATTTGGTGAATGCATCAATAAAGGATATATAGTAAGTGTAGCCATCAAAGGACTGAATAGGAGCTGGGCCCCATAAGTCAGTATAAATCAGTTCAAAAGGAGAATGAAAAACAGTTGTAGAAGGGTAAGAGGGTAGTCTGTGAGCTTTACCCAAACAACATGCAGAACAAAAGTCAATAGCATTCTTATTGATATATGGAAGATTACAAAGATTCAGTACAGACTTAAGGGCCTCAAAATGAGGATGTCCTAGTCTTAAATGCTAAATATTACAACTGGAGTCTGACTGAGAGTTATTACATGTAGATACAAGAGAACTAGGAAACACAGATTTTTGGGAGTGAAACTTGGACAAATTTGAAGTAGAGTTGTGAGACCCAAGAGCTGGAAAGGATTGAAACTTGTAAAGACCATCTTGACCAAGTACTCCATACAGCAGAACCTGTTTAGAAACCTGGGATTTAACAAAACATTCATGAGGATGAAATTCAAAAAATGCATTGTTATCCTTGGCAAATTGGCTGACACTTAATAGATTTTTTATTATAGCAGGAACATGTAAGATGTTATTGAGAGATAAAGAAAGAGATGATTGATAGGGTGAGGGAAAGGATGAAAAACCAATAGACTTAATTTCCAAACCTTGACCATTGCCCATAAACAGCTTATCAGTGGTAGCAATTGGCTCACTGTGTTGGAGATTGAGGGGATCAGCTGTGACATGATGTGTAGCTCCAGAGTCTGGGAACCAGTTTTGAGAATTTGGTGGTGGTCCTAGTATAGAAGAGTTTGCAGAAGCCCAGGCTGCAGTTGGTACAGTAGGGGATGAACTGAGTTGTGAGGGATGATTACTTTGTTGTGGATAGGGATGAGGTGGTTGGTTGGGTGAATATCTTGTTGTATTTGGAGGAGATAGTTGGCATTGATTTGAATAGGGATGTGAAGGTGGAGGTTGGTATTGATTTGGTTGGTATGGAGACTGGTGAAGTTGATTTGAGTAAGGATATGAAGGTGGAGGTTGTTGCATAGGATATGAAAACTGTTGTTGCATTGGAGAAGAATTAGTAACGGTATAAGCTGGATTGTATCTGTGGTAACAAACGAGTGCATTGTGACCATTTTTACCACAAACTTGACAAGTAACTGAGCTTCTTCCACCTGAACGACCACCTCTGCCCCTATTGAAACCTCCATGACCTCTACCTCTGGAGGAGGAATTGACATTAGAGGTATCAAACTTAGCAGAAGTATCAAACTGAGCAACTTGAGCTGAAGCATTTTCTGAAGTGTCCTGAGTTTCAGATTCAGTATTTTGAGAGGAAGATTCAAGTCGAGCAACATTAGCAGCAAAAATTGTTTGTTGTGAAGACTCACGAAGTTTCTTCAGTCGCAATTCCTTCGCTAACAAGAGACCTTCAAGTTCAGATATGGTAATAGGATCTAAGATACTTCACGAGGTGACAGATGATATAAGTGACTCATAATCCTCAGGAAGACCTTCAAGGATCACATTGATGGGATCCTTGGTTGATATAGGATCACCGACAGACGTTAGGTTATCCACAATAGTCTGAATACGAAGCAAATATTCAGAAATAGAACGATCACCTTTCCCGGTGTTATACAGTTCCGATTTCAATTGACGAGCTCGCGCGATGATACTGGAGCGGAAGAAATTCTGGATTTCACTCCATAACTCATGCGAATGCTTGCAGCAGATGACGCGAGCATGCAGTGATTCTGAAAGCGAAGCCAAGAGCCAGGAAAACATCATTTGGTCTTGTTGCTCCCAGATGTTGTATGCTTCGTTAGCTGTTTTTGCTCCATTTTCATCAACTCAAAAACGATCTGGTATCTGAGGATTTTCGATGAACTTGAGAAGTTTATGAGCTCGAATCACTGATTCGACATGATGGCGCCAGAACAGAAAATTGTTTGAATCGAGTTTAACAGGTAGAGGATGATGAAAAATGATAGGCGAAGATTGATTAGCAATGTGAGAAGATGATTGCGAAGAAGAAGAGGAATCAGACGCAGAGTTCGTCATGGTTAGATCGAGCAATGCTCTGATACCATAATAGAAATGAAGCAAGGTAGAAGCAGAAATGAAATCATCTTGATTAGAATCTGATATTACAGAGTATTTATACAAGCTGCTAGCACAACTGGCATAACCGAAGCCTAACGGAAAGTAGTTACATTGCTTTTACAAAGAATACACGTGTAGTTTTCCTACACTATTCCTAACACTAACCACCTCCTAAATGAATAAGTGAGAGATATCCCCCCCCCCCCCCCCCCCCACTCCTCACACCACTCACAACCACAAATACAAGTTGTAAGCAACAACATAACCACCCAGAGTATAAAACTAGTTTGATAGCACATTAATAACATAGGGTCCATGAAGCCGGTAGTTTACAAAAGATGCAAAGTACATCAGAAGACTCAGTTAATCAAATTTCAGAAAGCTCTTTTCACGAATCAAAGAATTTCTATCTTTTCAATACTTCAACCTTCCTGTGGGGTTTTCTATTCCTGAGTTGTATCGTTTAAAGGTTATACAATTTATAAGAACTGCTTTATCTTATGATATTTATTACACCTTCCTGGACCTTGTTTTTGAAATTGAACCATGCATTCTTCTCCTCTGTACCACAAGATATAACTTATGTTGATACATTCTTAGAAAATATAACTTCTACTAAAGAGTAAATTATGTCTTCTGAGCAAAGAAACGTGGACATCTGATGCCAATCATGGTTGTGAAGACGAACAATGAACTGAATCTCTTGCAAAGTACATAAATGTGAAAAAGAACTACTCTTGGTCCTTGTCCAGAAATAGATAAACAGTCCATATAATATTTGAAGTTGATCACAATAAAAAAGTTGGACCACTGGAGGAAAAAAGAAAGTTTGAATTAGAGAGAGAAGGCATACAATGGAATTGGTAAGAGAAGATTTTCCAGCATTAGGAGCCCCAAAAATCCCAACAGACAGAGATTTCTGATCCTCTTCCTTCACCAACCCACCATCCTCCTGCGCCTCACCTTCCTTCACAACCCGCCTATTAACAGCCTCAAGGAGGTTCTTAGCAAGAGCAGCAGCTCTCCTCCTTTTCTCTTCTTCCTTCAGGAAAACTCTTGAAGTACTCACCTGGGGAATATCTTCCCCAAACAATCTCCTCCTTGCTTCATTCCTGTACTTCTCGTCCCAAGTGGGCTCAGGGCCAACATTGCTCCCCGAATTATCCGTTACATCCGAATCCAATGCATAATCCGAGCTATCGAAAACATCTGAAGAAAAAAACTCGTCTTCTTCCGAGGAAGACGAAGAAGGGACTGCGGAGGCCGAGGAGTGATCGGTTTCTTGAGGTTGGGCTGAGCAAAATCGACGGAAAAGGTGTGAATTGAAACGGGATATGCTGGGCTCGTGTGATGCTGATAAGCTCAATACTTTCAAAACTTTGAAGGGTTTCATTTCAAACTTTAATCAGAATCTTCTGAATTGCTAAGTGAGAACTGACTACTCAACTGAGGGTTTGGGATTGAAAGAAAGATATGGGTAGGAAGAAGGGTCTTCTTACTATCCTTTCAGGGTTTTGAGGGGGTTTGCGGATTTTTCATACGCCACGTGGACAGTAAGCAATCGATCGGATGGCTGAAATTCAGAAAAGAAAACGCCCGGTTCGGGTTATTTCCCTCGTTGCCGTACGGTCAATACATAAGCACTGCACGGTCTGCACCAAATCACTAATCATATGTTTTTCTTTTTTAAAATAAAAACGGTAATGCTAGAGTCGGCTGAGTCGATCCCAAGTCTTATGATTTGAAATAAAATCGGTCATCTCATATAAAATAATTTCCTTTGTTAGATATAATACAATCAAATATAAGCTTAAACAATCAAAACTTAAACACCCTCTATAAAATAAATCATTTCACCGAGGTGATGGAACTGAAGTGACAGTACGAACAAGGGGTGGGCAAACGGGTACAGTCAAGCCGGGTAATAAAGTTCGGGGCGGGTCCTAATTTTAGAAAACCCAAACGGTTTGGGGTGGGGCGGGGCGGGTCCTTAAAAAATTAAGATTCGAACGGGTTTTAAAATTTGAAAAAACGGGTACCCGGACTGAACCGTTCTATTATTTTAATATAATATACTAACAATACACAGAAGATCTTCATGTTCTTGTATCTAGACAAAAACTTTCAATTAACGAAATTGATCAGTCTATTAAAAAGAGTTTCTAAGTGCATCTAAACTCCTAAATTATTTTCCTCAATTCTCTATTTCAAATGCATCAAACTTTTTTTATATAATTTTTTTGTAAACAAATTCTCTTACTTAATGAAGTGTGACATATTCATTTTATTGTCTTACGTTTACTTATATTTTAATATTTAATAAGCTTTAAATTATTTTCATAGACAAATATGTATAGTAACTGGTTTAATTTTTTGTGACTTTATAGTGCTATCTCTTTCTGTCTTTGCCGATCTTCTGCAGTTTCCTTCGCACAGAGAGGGAGTTCTACAGCAGCACAACACCGCAACAGGCAACAACGGTTGACGGATTGAGGCATAGCACAACTATAGCAACGACAGAGCTTTTTACAGATACAGTAAGTCAAATAAGAAACCCTAGATATCAATTATCAAATGTATTTATTTTCCTATTCTTCTTTATTTATGTATTTACAATTCATAGTATTTTAGAATTAATTTGATTTTAAAAAATGAATCATGCCTGCCTAAATGGCTATATGTTCATTAGTGTGTTTAGTTCATGTTTAATAAACGGTCGCAACTCAATTAGTTATTATGTATATTAACAAACTTAGAATTCTCAATTTATGTAGCAGCCTTCCTTTACATACATGTAATGTATTTTTACAATCATCAATTGAAACACATTAAGAAAGTATCATCCCCTGATTCTCCTCTTTGAAAACTGGAAACTAGAAATTATAATTATAATTTAAGATTATAAGATTGCATATGAAGTAAACTGGATATTAGTCATCAATATTCCATATAGTAGCTCTCTTAATTAGGAATAAAAACCGCAAACTGGTAGCTTTAATTCATGACAGTAGCAAAAGTAAACTGGAAATTTAAAATTAATTAAGATAGCAGCCCCTGTTTACATATATATGTAACACTATGTACATGCACCAATTTAAAGAAGTAAAACAGTAGCCTCCCCTCTTATCTAAGATTATAAAATGGAAACTAGCCATCATAGTTTAGGATAGTGGTGGTCCTAAATTGCAAATTAATGGTCTTAATTCAATCAGATTATTGAATTTGTTTTTTTATTAGAGATATTTATGTAACAATTCCTTTATAGAACTGTAACATGATTTGAATTTCTTTACTTTTGTAAACTTTTAATCAATGGAGGTTGAAGCAAAATCACTACCTACCACTTCAAGGACAAATGGTGAAGGTTTGGTAACAGAAGCTGGAACTGAAGTGGCAAAAGTAAAATAAAAAATCTGGCAGCACTATTTGAGAGAGACAATTGATGAAAAACTCAAAGCAAGGTGCAAGTATTGCAAATCAATTTTATTGGGTGATCCAAAGAAAGGTACCAACCACTTGCATAAGCACTACCAAAGATGCAACAAAAGGAAGACGACAGATATAAGAGAGCAACTTCTGCAAGCCAACTCCAAGAATAAGTTTGCACTCTCACCGTTCAACTTTGATCAAGAACTCTCTCGTTTGGAGCTTGCAAGGATGATTATAATGCATGGCTACCCTCTTAAGATGGTTGAGCACATTGGCTTCAGGAATTTTGTGTGTTTAAATCCTTGCTTCAAAATGGTCAGTAGGAATACAATTAAGGACTGCTTCAATATATTTGAGATAGAAAAGAAGACCATGATGGGCATCCTTGAAGAGAATGTTGGGAGAGTAGCTGTAACAACAAATATGTGGACATCAGATTTTCAGTATCTAAAATAAGGAGAACGTGAGTTGAGTATCTAAAATATATTTGAGATAGAAAAGAAGACCATGATGGGCATCCTTTAAAAGAATGTTGGGAGAGTAGCTGTAACAACAGATATGTGGACATCAGATTCATATCACCAAACAGGTACACAACAAAACAATTAACCAGGTAGAACAATTAATGATTTCCAGTATCTAAAATAAGGAGAACGTGATTTGAGTATCACATGATTCTTCTCTAATCCTACCAAAAGAAATCCATTTTAAATGCTTTGTAACATGCTACAAATCAAATCAGATATCCGGGATGCGAAATCCTCATCTGCAGCAATGACAATGGTTTTATGTTCTGCAACTTCAATCAATGCTTCATTATGCTCTTCTGAGACTTCTATCACAGTAGTAGTAGTAGTAGTAGTAGTATTAGCCGTATTAGTAGCTGTGTTGATTCCCATCTTTTGTAAAGCGGCCACAAGTGACTCCGGGTTGATTCTTCCCCAACAAACCACTGGTCTACGTTGTGAAGAAGACGCTGTTCTATCACTTCCAAAGACCAACCGATACCTGCCACCCTCCAAGAACAACTCCCCCTTTAGCCTTGCCATTTCCTTATCGCCTTCTTGCATAGACTGTGCGCAACAGAGGAGCTGTGAAGCCAGGTCTACATCAATGCACAATTCTGAAACCTGCTGCTTCAACTTGGGTATTACAAGTGTCTCGTTTTCAGAGAAATAGCTAAAGGGATAAGAGTGGCCCAAATGGCTAAAATGTGGCCTCAGATCTTCCGGAAGCTGGATTGAACAGCAAAACAAATGTTTGGAGAGATCAAGGATTAAAGAGCCATCAGAAAATTCTAGCAGATCACAGTGTGTGTGTGTGTGTGTCGGTGTATCATGGGATTACCAGAACATGCTTTGGTTGCAGTGCTTTCAGCAGATATGGAGCTTTCTTTAGGCTAAATGGTACAAGCACCGGTTAGGATACATCAACTGGAAGAGCTTATATAAAGCTTGATAATTAAAGAAACATGTTTAAATCTTCAATACAGAGAGAGAAATACCTTACTTTATTCCAGATAGAAATGAGCATTTTAGGACTTTCATGTCCATTGGCTTGAAAGGCAAAACAGCCAGATCAATATCAACTCCTTCCTAGAAAACAGTTAAAAAACTCATGCAATTAGTCAAACATTCCGCAGCAAAGTCGTAGCAATATAGAAATTATTTAGGAATTTTGGCAGCAATATTACTTCTAGGTTTTGTAAAGACAAAAATATAACCAGTTTTCAAAAGTTTATATTTATCCCAATTTCTTTTCCCCAAATCCTCCGCCCAGCTACTGATTGGAGAAAAAGATTCCAAAAAAACCTACAAAAAGTTAACGGATTTGCCACAGCTGATCACAATGACACGTGGAATGGTATCACTGCCGCTGGCAGTATGTCATAGGTTTCACTTGCAGTAACATATAGGCGCTTTCTTTTTTAATTTTAAGAAAGTAGTCATATTTGGGTTTTTGTCTTTTCCTTTAAGCAGGTACATGCAAAAACTCCTATTATTTACTTCGTAATAACTGGTAGACAAGAACTGACCTCCATAACAAGTAAAGAATCTGAATTTGCACACCAGCGGCGAAGTAAATGAACAACAGGTCCTAATCGCAGACTCCAATGTGGACAAAATATGACACAAGGTTCCTGCCAAATTTTTCTATGCACAAAACTAAGTCATGATAAGGTTGATACTTGATACATGGTAAAAACTATAGACCTGTCATAACGGTTTGCAGATAAATTTACTGACACAAATTACCAACAGATATTAACTATAATACAGAGTAACATATTTCCCCAAATATATTCTAATGCTAAATATATAAGTCAATGTTATCCACTAAACAGGAAGGAATCATCTTACAGTAACTTGAGAGAATGAATTTCAGAAAACACATGCAGCCTTTTGGAATTCAGCAGCTCAACATGAGAAAATAGAGGTTGACCAGCATATAACTGCAAGATACATGAAAATTTAGACTCAAGTCATATTCCCTTATAACGAGTTTTTAAGCCATACATGATAAAAAACAGCATCCATCATACCTTGTCCTGTTTACGCTTGCACAGCCATTCTGGTATAACATTAGAAAAGGCCAATAACTCTTTAGCTACAGAAGAAACAAAAAAAATGGGAACCTATAGACAAAAACTATATATTAATTCAGAACTAATTAGATTATTCAGATATATAATATACTCAAGGAAGCAAGATATTTGCATTTACTGTAGCGTGAAAGCAATACTACAAAAAAGGAACTTAAAGCACAAATTCTCTCGAAAGAATGGGTTTAGTGGCCTAATTCTAGTAAACTTTATTTCCTAACGGAACTCTATTTCGGGGTGTTAAACAGGAACTCACAATATTAATGGTACGGTTAAATTTCTCGTGCAGTTTGCATCTCATCATATAAAAGAAAGAACGTTACAAGGTCCAGAGAAGCAATGAAATGATAAAGTAAAGTACAACAGCTCTCCTACTAGCCCTAAAATTTGCTATACATGATTATACAATTATACATCTAACAAAAATATAGAATTAAAGAATAAACTCATCTCTTATGGATATACCTTCAAATTTGAAGACTCTAATGAAAGCCCAACATTCTCCAGCAGCTGCAACATGATACCCGGTCGTCCAATGGGAATAAGCACTGATCCTCCGGCATTAACAGAGTCCAGAACACATGAACAAAGAAAATTCATTTTTTCCATCTCTTCATGGTACTCACTAGGATCAAGCAAATACTTTTCTGTGTCTTCCAAGAAAGTGTCACTGCCAATGGATGAGTTTTCGCAGATATTAAAAGAAAAAATCATGGCTATCCTTCTAGTAAATATTACAGCGGAGCAAGAGTGTATTGGTATCAGGGAAAAATAAAAGCAAAATTATAATATTTTCCTTCCATTTTATCTGTCCACTTTATCCAAATAGCACATATTAAAAGAATCAAAATAAAATTATAAATCGGTTACAGCTTATCTTATCATGCCAAAAAAAAACCTTTACTGAGTAATAAAGTCTTAAGGGTAAAATTGGTAAGATATGATGAACATACCATATACTTTTTTCTAAATGGACAGATAAAATGGGACACAAACTCTCAAAAGGTTGGATAGCTGAATAGGAATGGACGGATTGCACACACAAACTCGTGCATACAAACATATTCCCTGTAGGCGGTACCTTGGATAGGAGGAATCATTCTTAGCTGGAGAGGAGACACAGTTGTCACCATCCACATTGTCAATATCTGAAGGTGCATAGCCAGAGTATAACAACACATCACTTTTCTGAAGTGAAATGTAATCAAAACTCATTGCAGTTTCTGAAGAAAAAATAGATCCTGAAAGATATGTGATGCTTCCTTTTGGGCTGACAACGGTCCAATTACAAGCACCAACTTCTAAACCAGAACTGAATGCTTTTAAGGTTAAGGTTCCATTGTAGCAGGATTCTTCAGCGTATTTAAGACAATGAACCTTCTCTATGCAACTCTTGACTTCAGCCGCACTAAAAAGGTCTACAGTTTAGATCCTCAAGCATAAATACCAGCAATTCAACAAATGGGTTGCCTTATTTTTATATTTTCAGTAAAAAAGAAAAGAAAATTGTAATTAGACATAGAAAGCTGATTAATTGGGCATTTGGTTTGGTTTGAAGATTTATGGAAAGCATTTTAGATCATTCAAAAAAAGTTTTTGGCATTAAAATGTTATTACAAGCATGAAAGACTTGAATGGAAACAACAAAAAATGGATACACTATGTAAAACGATATTACTACAACTCTACAAGTCCCAATCAAACCGCTTCAAATAGCAACAAAGAGAGGTGAAGAATATACTCCATGGGTTCGAAAATTTTCTTCTCATTTTGGTTTGGGATGCTTATCTTATGAAAGTAAATTAAATGGTTGTGTTTGATCTAACAGGCAGAGAAACAATAGCAACCAAAAAAAATCCCTTAAATAGGAAGAAAATTTTGGAACATCCCAGAAAGGAAAAAGGAAAGAAAATAATGGGAGGGATGGAGGTACATAAATTTTACATTAAGTGAAGGACTTACTATTACCTGTACAATTGCATCCACCCAGCAAGACCTGTTGCATGCTTGCCCAAAACAATCTCCTTTAGTTCCACGGGAAGCAACTCAAGTTTTTCCCAATTCATTAATTCTGGGAAACAAGCCTCTTCAACCCCATAGAATTGTCTCATCTCCATATGGATAGCAACAAGGTCCTGCATTATTAGTTGACCGAGTCTAGCAGCAGCTTCTGTTGCATAAATCTGAATACATAACAACACCAAATAATTCTTTTTTAACCATTGGGCATTGGCCATAGGGATAACAGACAATTTAACTGCATTCGAAGTTCAATTTCCACTTACCTTTGCAGAAAAGCCTTTTTCACGAGTGAGATATGGTAGCCCAAGTAAGCCCATTGGACTTGTGATCAACACAACATCTATGAAGGATTTATTTATAAGGTTTAGCCTTTCAACAGTTTTATACCACGGTTCTGCGTGTATTAAACTTGTGGCATCACTCAAGAAAGGTGGATCAGTTGGCAGTGGAGAGAAAATTGAAAGAGATGAAAGGTCCAAAGGGTAATCAAATAACACCTGGAAGCCGCAAACATTGAGAACGTGACATGGAGGGAAATGATAACCCTGACCCTTGCTCAAACATGTCTGCACACAGATGGAGGGCACAATAAGATTAACTTTATGCCTGACAGAAACATAAAAAATAAATGCTTGAGAGTGGAGAGTGAGACTTACAAACTTCATACTGCTTAGGCTCAAATGCTCAATCAATGAAGTGTTACACTTTAACTCTGCTCAGGCTGAAATGGGTCAATTCTAATATTTGCCTTTCTCAACCTGATCAGGTTTTTAAAAAGAATGAGAACACGAATTAAAAAAACAATTATAGTGAGAACTAAATTCTCATTTGGGAAGGCTTTGTTAAGAGAGCTATTACAAAGTTCTCTGTAAATTCTAGAGGAACGCTCTACAAGATAATTGTCATTCTATACAAAATTATGACTGCACTAAAAAACTCTTCCAAAACTTTGCACTATGGTTAATCAAGAGACAAGACTCACCTTTTCATGCCCATTCTTTCAGACTAACTCCAATGGAGGCTTCTCTGAACCTGTGTTAAAAAAAATTACTTAAAGAGGATATGATTTTTCAGTAAAAGTAGAATCTGAAATTATGTGCTTAATAATCAAATGACTTGATCACATCCCTGAAATATTGCAGAACTGTAGAACAAAATATTTTATTGATAACTAAAATGAATAATAAAAACAACAAAATGTGAGATAATCCATCCCAATAGTCATTTATTTGAGGCTGTTCTTTTGTAGAACTGGGCACAGATAATGTTCAGCCCTTTAGTTCAGTTTAGTTCCAAGTTTATAGCTACACTTGTAGAGCTCCACAAACCTCAATCGGTTTGGAGAAGATGTAACCCATATATGATATAACTCGTCTCAAAAATTATTACACCTTCTGCTTCAAGTTCTTATTTTTAGATATTCAGAGAGAGAATATATATAAAATCAACCAAGCATCAATGTTTTGGGAAAAGCGAAGCTAAAGTTCAAACCACATTATTCTTTATATGAAAACTGTATATTCTGTTATAGAATACACAGGTAAAGACTGCAGACTGGTTCTTTTAAGAACCCAGAAAAATAAAAGTTAGTCTTACCCAGTGGCGTATTTTTCAAGGGGAGAACTTCACTATAACTTCGTCACATGTTTCAGAAATAGCAGGTCGCATTATCAGGGGCGTAGCAAGACGGATGTTCAGGGAGGCTGACTATAAACTAAAAACACTACATATAAAATTTTAAAAGCGTAAATAGTGTGAAGTTGTGAACATAATGATTAAAATCCATTAAAATTCATAATGATATTTTTAAACAGTACATACTGTTTGAAAAAAAAAGTTAATTGAACACGACATTCCTTGACCTTAGCAAACTCATCTAGGAGAGACTCAACGTCGATTTTGTTGGAAAATTCTTTTTCAATAAAGATGATCAAACAATCGGAAAGAAATTCATCATTCATCTTGTTACGAGTTTCAGTCTTCACGTGTTTCATTGCATAAAATGATCTTTCTGTTGTTATAGTAGAAACAGATAAAGTCAATACAAGATGAATTAATCTTGTAACCATTTTGAAGTGTTCTGCCGTTCCAGATTTGACCAACTCCTCACTCAACTTCGCAAGAGAATGAACTTGAAACTGAGAATTTTGAACTATGTGAGGTTCATAAAATAGCAACTCAATCTTATCTTTGTATTCTTGGCCTTTGTAAAAGTTCAGTTTCGGTTGATAAGGTCCAAGCATCAAATAAGATCGTCTAATTTCATCTATTTTCTCTAACGCCCAATCACTTATCTTTTTCCGTTTTACCGGATCCCGCTCAAATACAAGTGCATCAGAAATTACTTCCTCTTGAGCGGATGAGATATTTGGAGTTTCAATTGAAACATTGTCATTTTTGCCTATTGTCTATTTTGTGTACTTTCTTCCTTATCTTTTTATATTCTTATGTTATTTTTATCTTCTAGCTTTTTTATGCTCTTTTATTTATTTTTCTTTTATCTTGGTTATATTCTTGTTTTATTGTTATCTTATATTTATGTATCTTTATTTTATTCATTTTATCTTACTTTTTTTTCCTTTTCTTGTCCGCCTTCTCTTTTTGGCATCGATATCATAGATCGATTCATGTTAACCGACCCCAAATTCTTTTGGGATTAAGGCTTGGATGTTGTTGTTGTTGTCTATTTGTGTACTTGTACTAGGCTTATAAAACGAATGCAATGTAGTTTTTGCTTTTTGGGAAGTAGATTGAGTAGCCATAGCTACTAAAATTAGCAAAAAAAATACAAAACCAATCAATATTTTAAGAAATTAACGTATCACATTTGCCATTCCTAATTTTCCATTTCACAATTCAAAGCACACAAATGAATTAAATGACACACTAAGTCACTAACACAATTACACAAACTAAAATAACAAATAACACAAATGAATTAAATGAATTAAAGTAACATTTTTCACTAACACACTAAGTCGCTAAACATATAAAATACAATATAAATAAAAAATTGTAAAGAAAAGAAGAAAAGCTTACCTGAGTCGAGACTCCAGAGAAGCTGCGCAGGCGAGCAAGAGCAGCAGAATGGGGCGTTCGGACTCCGGCGATGCTTGCGGTGTGGCCCCTGCGGCGTGCGTGAGGTGCTTCCAATTCATCCGACCTCTACTGCGCTCATTGAGGTCAACACTGAGCCAGATTTTTCGGACGGCCAGATTTTTTCGGATAACTGTAAAGGGAATTTTTCGTAAATAGACTAAAAAGGTGAAAATAATATCACTTTTTAATTTTCTTTTCAAAAATAATTAGATAAAGTTTTCATTACAAAAATAGACTATGCATAGCCGTGTACTGGTGCAGTGTCTATACCCTTGGCTCTTAAGAAACACCACGTACGACTCCATCTTTATACCCTCTTTCATTAACTAATACAAATCCAATAACAAAAATGATGTTTGTACACACTCTTATACACACTTTTGTACACATCTATGTCTGTGAAAGCTTTTTTTTGTCTGTGAACATCGATTCACAGACAATGTTTTGCACAAACAAAATATTGTCTGTGAACGGGATTCACAGACAAAAAAAAAGCTTCACAAACATGGTGTGTATAAGGTGTGTACATCAAGAATGGTTGATCCAATAATCACTCAGAATCTTTTTGTAAATAGAAAACAATGTAAAAATTAATTTTGATGTAAAAAGGAACAAGATAACAACAAAAAATAAAAGTCCAAAAAATAAAATAAAAGTCCAAAATAAGAAAAAAAACATAATATAAAATTCAAATTTCAAAATACAAATTTAATTTAAAAAAAGGAATTTAGATATTTAAAATAAATCCTAAAAATTAAAAAAAAATTGAATTTAGAAATAAAAAAGTCAAAAGCAAATGGAAAAAAGTTAAAAAATAGTTTACCATGAGGGAAAATTATAAAAAGATACAATTTTTTGTAATGAAATTTTTTAAAGAGTTGATATACTCCGTATTTTTATATAAAAAATATAAAATAGTCAAATATAAAAAACACGAAATCCTAAAAAAATTGAAAAGAATTAGAACATTTAAATGATTAATTTTTTTAAGAAAATTGAAAAAAAAAAATATTAAAAATATAAATATAAAAAAAAACTAAAAATAAAATAAAAAATAAAAGACAAAAATTCAGAAAATAATAACTTTGGATTCGTTGTTTTTATCATTTTGTCATGTTCCTTGTTGAAATTCATTAATTCAAAAATTATCATTTTGATGTCTATGAGTCTATCTATATGTATGTTACTCCCTCCGTCCCTTGTAACTTTGTCAACTTTCCTTTTTTGGATGTCCCATTAACTTTGTCACCTTCCGTTTTAAGTAAAGAATTTGTGATTTCAGTTACTTCTCTCTCCTTTGCACAAACTTCAACCACATATTTTTTACTTTATTAATTCTCGTGCCGGTCAAACTTGGCAAAGTTATTTGGGACGGAGGTACTATATTTTATTCCATAAGTAGCAAATATAAACATAAAGCCAAATATCATGCAACACAAAAAACAACAAACAACAACATAATGCAGCAAAAAGCAAAATGATGCAACAAAAAGTAACATAATGCAACAAAAAACAACATGATACAACAAAAAACAACATAATGCAACAAAAAGCAACATAATGCAACAAAAAGCAACAAGATGCGACATGATGCAACAAGACGAACATGTGTGATACAATAAAATGCAACAAAAAAAATAATGCATAAAACTATCACAACAATATATAGTCCGCTCTTTTTTGAAAACATGGAAAAGGAATATATATATATATATATATATAGTCCAATTTATCATTTGAGTTTATCACAATTATCTAGTACACCAATTGGTTTGGTTTTTATGTTATCTCAAAACACAAATCATCAAGTTTGTCTCCACTATCTTCACTTTTCTCATCAATCTTCTCAACCTTACGTTATGTTATCGATCACTATAACGTCATAAAGTAAAGAGAAAAAAATTATTACCAGGAACCAATACACATATATGACTGACTCATGTACCAAAATACATTACAACTACAAGGTAAAGATATAGGAACAAAATAACGTAAAAATGAAAATTACCTCAACTCATCTATGAAGAGGTATAAACTTTACTACCTCAATCTTTCGAATAATATAAGAAACCGTAAAAACAAAGAACCTTGCATGTCACATATGTAGTACCATAAGTTACCCAAACATGCTCTTACTTTTAATACGGCATAGAGCACACGAACCTAAACACTAATTTATCAAGAGCAAATCACATATCCAATGTTTTAAACATTTTGCATAAAAAACTATGAACTACAACACGTTCAAAGAAAAAGAAAACAAACACTACACTTTTATTACCTCTCTGCTTTCTGGATGAAGCAAAAAAGCTACAGAGTCAACAATATTGGCAATCCCAATAGCCTTCCGCTACAACACAACATTTAAAAAGCGCTACAAAGTTGATATAAACTATATCTCCCTTGAATAGAGTAGTGAAAGTAACCAATGAAGAGCAGACAATGGTTTAAGCTGAAAAGTTATATTACATCCCAAGGACCATATTTGAAAAACATTAAGAGAAACCATCCCAAGGACACCAGCTAACTCAGCATTCAACTTGAAACCAACTCGAAACTAAAATTGTCAAAAAACATTAACGTATGACACATTAGAATGAAAAGAACAACATTAGAATCTCTCAATCATTCATAAGTATCTAGTCAACGAACTAAGATAAAACCCCAACAAAACCAGAATATGTAATAAAAACTTGAATTCTAAACACACATACACACAAAGTATAAAAAAATCGCATAGCAGTAATCTAAAAAAGGTAAGCGAATTTAACGACATCTTAGGAAAATCGGAGAGTAAAAGCACACGGAATATATGAAAGGGAAGATATAATTTGATTTCCGAAAAAGGTTCATCAACAAACCTAGCGATGGAATCGTCAGAATTACCGAATTTCTAGGCACACCATCGATAGATCCGTCTTCTATTCTTGACAGGGAAGCATTGACAGCGGCAGACCTCCCAATTACAGTCGTTGGAGCAGAGAATACAGATGGCGGGCCATCATTGTAGCAGATAATCTTAACTTGTCATGTGGCATCGGCGAGACTGTGAGATGGAGGCGGCGAATTCCATATCTGAACCACACCTCCTAGCGTGTTTTACGTCGGAGAGGGGGGGTGAAGGTCGCTCGTGGGTGGAGTTTTGGGGCTGGACGGAAATCAGAGCTCGTTGAAAGGGGAAAGGGACGAGGTTGAAATCGATGATGGTATTACTTGTAAGCTATTTTTGAAATTAAACATACATAAGTGAAAAGCTAAAAGTCTACAAATGAAAAAAAAATCCAGTGGGCTATAAAAGAAATACGGTTGACAATAGTGGCTCAAACTGGATGTTTCCACTTTTTTTAACAATATACGGAATATAATATAGTTATAGCCTTAAATGGAATTAAATTGAAACTCAATTGTACAAACGGGACCGAAACCTAAAGAGAGAATTTCTAAATAGGAGTAAAAACATTTTCAAATTCCAAAATATGAGCATCATGTTTTTTATTCCTTAAATAGGAGCAAATTTTTGTCAAATTTGACATTACTAGGCTTTAAACATGACATTTTTTTCTAAACATGGCATATTACTCCTATTTAAGAAATAAAAAACATGACAGTCCTATTTTGGAATTTCAAAACGTTTTTACTCCTATTTAGAGCAATTTCTGAAACCTAAAGCATTCACAAATAGGACTAAACATTTGTTTTATAAGTATGGGATCTAAGTATGGCTCGTTGACTAACACTAGATCAAAGCCTAAGGAAGCAAAGTATACAAGAAAACGGAAAGGTTGATGAACTAACCTTTGAAGTTTTGAAGAGAGTGAAGAACACTGACGAACAGCTTATCTCTCTAGAAAATCCGGCACCACTTCGTTAGCTCAGGTCGCAAATGAGTGTCCCGCTTCGAAGGGGAGGGGTATTTATAGAACTCCCCCCAACGGTCACTACACGTGGCATCCCCTCAATGGCCGCGTGATTGGCCACCAACCCAAGGGCCAATAAGGTGCCACCATTTCAAAGATGGGCCAGGCCCACTTCGGGCACCATCAACCCACTATCAAGGTAAGCCCTACCGTTCAACAATCAAATGGGTTGCACCCATGTAAGGAATAAATGTAATTAGATTTTGATGATGCTAGGTTAATTAGAATTCGAAAGTACCCCTATAGAAATTTTGTATCACATTTTTCTTTGTAAGTATTAGCATAGTCGACGTGCCAGAAGGGCATTTGCCATAATACTTTCTTGAGGCTACCCGAACAGAAACCAATCCGCTGCCAGGTCCAATTCTGCCATCAGAATTTGACCTTCTCTGTCACCAGAATTCGACCTTCTCTGATAAGTCGGTATTGACTTTGAGAATAGCTTGAAAAATCCTGAACAGTTTATTCACCCCCCCCCTCTAGACTGTTCCCGTTATAAACGGGACCAACAACCCACAACGGCCAAAACATTCAACGGCCGCACAAAGGGGAGGTATGACCCTCCACGTTCACAGGTCACGCCTGAATCGGCCCTAGTAACCAACAATTACTTCAACGGCTTGCCCCATGTCAAAACGCCACCTCGGCATCAAAGGCCCCAAGGTATGCCCATATCGGCCTGACATGTTACCAACTGCAGGGCTCTTTCAACGGCCACAAAAACAAAGTGGAAAAAGAACTTAACAGTCATCGGCCCCCGTATAAAACCTACTGATGTTGACCTCTTGAAAGCGACATGCGTCCAAGGGTTCTCCCACAGGGTTACCTTGGTCAGGAATCGCCAGGGGGTGGATCCAGGGGAAATACGAGGATCCCGCTTCGGCCTGGGGTTTCACCTTACTACTTCACCCCTCATTAACCCTTCGCTCTGAAGCAGTGGGGGGCTGGGGGACTACACCAACCTCCAAACGCAGGGACAAAATTGAAAATCCAAAAACGCACAAGTATACAATTACAACAACACCATATCGTCTGTGCACCATAACGTCCAGGACCTGGTGGTGCACCCTCGGCCGCAACAAAGTAAGCAAACAAGGAAGCAAAGCTCACCTCCCAGAACATGACACATGTCGTTCCTCGGCGTGTGGCGCTCAACGGCCTTGGGGTCACGTACTCCATCCTCGGCCAAGGTAAGAAAATAACCCCCGACGTCCACAAAACCATGGACACACAACATCCTCTAGTTGAGTGTCATTATCGTCCTCAAGGCCATGAACACCAAACTACAAATAATATCGATTCGTCCTGGAGTACTAAAAGCAACCATGGTGCCTCCTCGGCCAGAAACACAAAAGGCAACCAACAACGGCCAAAGAGAGGTCATGTCACCCTCAAAACGGAGACCACTAATTGGCTAGTCAGGCCACAACACTCATCGTCCTAGAGCACAAAGGCACGCACCACCCTCAGAACAAGGACCTCCTTCAACCACAACAGAGGCCACAACGGCCAAACACAGAGGCCACACAACGGCCAAAACAGGGAATACACACCCCATCAGCAGAACAATAGTCTCCTTCATCCACGACGAAGGACATACAACGGTCAAACACAAAGAATAACCGCAGCGCCCCCGCGTTGGCCAAAAACGTCAAGATTGCAGGAATCTACTCTCCCTCACTTCGTCTGCATCTCAGCTCAGAGAATGGGGGACTCCTGATGGAGTATATGGGCCCAGTCCCCAGGACCCACATACTCAGAAGAACAAGAGGAACAACTGTCACCTAGTGGGACCTCCGTTGGCCAGATGGCCCTCCATCGGCCAGAAAATCATCGACTCAGAACATGATACAGAAGCCAAGTGAATCGGGTGTCTCTGTCGGTGGGGTCTCCGTCGCCCGTGGCTCCGTCGGCCAGAACCCCGTCGGTCACAGAGAGCTCACAGAGCCGGATTTTATACTTAGTCATTTCTACATACTTTGTACTCGGCCCAGTAGTGGTCCCGTTACAAATTGGCCTCCCAAGCCCAAGACTTGGGAGCCCAGCCCACATTTCCTCTATAAATACACCCTTTGGGAGTAGTTGTAGGGGTTGACAAATTCATTTATTGCAGAAACTTATTGTACTTCTCTCTCTAGCTCTCGCTTCTCTCTAGAATATATACTCTGTCAGGTTAATTATCAAAATATGACTAAAAGTCACCCACTTTGCACAAATAGGACCTAAAAGTAAACTATGTTTTCGTATGACTAATTATGTATGCCTTGGACAAATATACCCTTATAACTATTGAAATGTTTTAATTCATAATAAAATAACAAAACATAATAAAAAATTCGTAAAAAATACTAAAAATTAATAAAAATATTTCAATAATAATTTATTTATTTATTTATTTCAAAAAAAATAAAAAAAAAATAAAAAACTCAAAAAATAAAAATAAAATTCGCCGCCGCTCTGCCGCCTTTGCACCACCACCTCCAATCACCAGGGGAAAAAATGCCAATTTCATTATGAATGCCATATTTATGGCAGAAAACAATGAAAATGTTGGCATTCTCAAATAGAAATATGCCTTGTTTTTGGCATTTTTCAGGGGGAAAATGGCAGTTTTTAGGAAAATGACATTTTTTCACCAGTCGGAGATGATGGTGCAGGGAGGTAGTAGAGGCGGTGGGAAAGGCATCTGTTGGGATATTGATCCAGAGGCCCAATACCCGGATCAAGAAGGCCCAAGATACTCGGCCCAAACGACGAGCCCATCACTCTATGATGAGTAGATCTAGTGAAGAATTCATGCCGAACGAGATTCGGCCCAAGAAAGGGTTGGCCGAGTAAGAAGATATACCGAACGGAGTTCGGACTATATATCATACTTGGGCCAATTTGACAGCATCTTCAGCATGGTCCAACATCCTGTTCGAGCAACGGACAACCGGCCAGTGGCCAGGTGCAATTAATGCCAGATTGTGACATCAGCAAGTGGAAACATGGGTGACCAAGTCGGTGGAACAACAGCCAATCAGCATAGAGCAGCCCATGTTCTCCATTAGTATAAATAGAAGGTTTAAAATCATTGTAAGGGTTAGCATTTCAATACTCAGGCTCTAGAATAGCATTATTGCTCTTATTTCTTGTATTAAAGCATTATTCCGACCTACCGATCGAGAATTTCCTTGTAATCAGACTGGTTAATTAATACAAGTGAGCTTTTGAGTATTAGTGAGTTCATATTTTATATTTGGTTATACATTTTGACTCTGGAAGAAATGGCTGAGATGAGGAGGCAGATGAACGAGATGTGAGATCAGATGAACAGGGCGCCTGTACAACCTGCCCCAGTTCAGCTCAGAATTACTTCCCCTTTCACCAGGGAAATCATGTATGCGGACATCCAAGGAGGTGCCAAACCACCGACCAGTCAAATCTATGACGGGGTGGGAGATCCCCATGTGCGTTTGAGGAGTTACCAAGGGGGACTCATGCTACTAGGAGCACCCGAGGCTGCTATTTGCCGGTTGTTTTTTAGTACGCTCAGAGGGCCCGCCCAGGAGTGGTTCGGGACACTGCAACCCAGGTCGATCAACAGTTTCGCCGAATTATCGACGTTATTCTTAGCCCAATTTGCTTCCAGTACCAATCCGAAATGGCATTTCAGCTATCTGACCAGCGTGAAGCAAAACTCCAAGGAAACCCTCAATCACTTCTTAAAAAGATGGAGGGACGAAACTCTGACAGTGGGAAATATGACGGATGATACCGCCATCACCTTATTCACGAATGCTCTCCGAACGGGAGAGTTATACAAGGATTTGAAGAAGAATCTAGGTACAGCATATGCCGAGGTATTAGACAGAGCTCGCAAGCATGCTGCCCTAGAAGAGGAGATAATGATCAGGGATAAGGTCGTTGCGTCTACTGCCCCAATCAAAATGGCCGATTGGCTGGGTCCTAGCCCAGTGGCCGCTATACCTCCCAAGCAAGGGAGATTTACCCCCTAGTCCTGTCAGTGGCGACCATTTATTAGCACGAGAGGGACAATATTCCCCTCCCGACTGATTCTTCACAATTTATGGGAGCAGACGACTCTGCTTTTTGTAAATATCACAACAGGAAGGGGCATGCCACCAATGTCTGTAGGGCCCTACAAACGGCCATTGAGGACTTGATCTGACGGGGTCATCTGGGCAAGTATGTGAATAAGGATCCAAATGCAGTGGGCACTTTGAAACCGACCAGGAAACCCAATAGCTGGCGACGGGATGCCCAACGCGATGCCCGGCCTCAAAATGACGTATATATTCCCCCCAGGGATGAACCAGAGGGCTCGGAAGGCC